GGCTGGGAGGGTGGGTATGGAAGCGGGTGTAGGTGGGAGGGTAGAGGTGGGACAAACACCTGCAGACAGAGCAGCATCTCCATCTAGGGCCCCTAGACCACCAAGGCAGGCCTAGGTGAGCCCAAAGTAAGCTTATCTTTTCCCTTGACTGCCTGGATGCTGTTGGGCAAGTCACCTTCCCAAATCTCACTTTCCTAGTACAGAAAAATGCTACTCATGACACCTTCCAGGCAGCAAGCATGACCCACTCATAAGAGTGTGATGCCACATCCAGGGGACCTGTCAGCTTCCTGTACCCTAATGTGTTCACAGATCTGTATAAAGACAATACTCAGGCCAATGTCTGCCCTCAGCTCAGCCTCTGCCACAGCCTTGGCTAACATCTTGGGTGAACTTAGGCAAGCACCCTTCCTCCTAGGAATCCATGTCACCTCTATAAGGCAGGGACAATCCTCTCTTACAAGCTTCCTATTCTCCTGTTCTCCTCTTCCAAAGGCTCTCCTTCGTGGTCAACTCCTTGGCAAAGAATGTTATGGATCTCCTGGTTCCAGCCCTGCCCCAAATAGTGAAAACCCACGTGAGTAAAACCAGGCCTCTGGGCTATGAAGATGGCACCCCCTGTAGGACTAGGGTGGAACTGCAAGCTGGTACCATGTGAGTTCTGTCTCCTTGGGTGGGATCCTTCTGGGACTGAGTAATTCCTTCAACAAAGCAAAAAACCACTGAGTCAATGAACTGAGCTACTGAGCCAGTGAGATCACTGAGGTCAAGGCAACAGGAAAGCCAAAAATTCAGGAGACCTTGATCATGTGCTGGTCAAGGTTTTAACACTTGTTTCTAAACGGGTTGAGCGAGGAAGCCCTACCTGAAGCTTTTGCTGACTTCACAGTTATAAATCCTACCTTCAGTCTGACTTTTGTCTATTAAATTGAAGTCATGGAGCAGAACTGGAAGCAGGTGCACAACAGCATGCTCCTGTGTAGTACTGCCATCCAGCAAACAGTGGAGAGCACCTCTAGAGCATCAGACAGTAGACAGTACCTCTAGAGCATCAGACAGTAGACAGTACCTCTAGAGCATCAGACAGTAGACAGACAGTACCTCTAGAGCATCAGACAGTAGACGGTACCTCTAGAGCATCAGACAGTAGATGGTACCTCTAGAGCATCAGACAGTAGACGGTACCTCTAGAACATCAGACAGTAGTGGATACAGAGCAAAATACCTAGGAAAGGATGGGTTTTCTGCCTTTATTAAATGTATTTTAATATGTTTTATGTAAGTGTATATACTTTGATTTTAAAAACCAAGCTATAAATCCCTGAACATCCCGCATTTTGCCCTGAAATGCTGTCTTAAGCGGCTGTCGCATGCTCAGCTGTCCAGCTGTGGTTTGTAAGCACTGCAACTCACCAAATGCAGCTGTGCTTATTTCTTCTGAGTCAGTAAATTCAGGCTGTGTGGGGCAGATGGAGGAAGATAGAACCCAGGACTTTACACCTACTAGGCAAGTGTTCTACAGCAGAAGACACCTGCAAACCCGGTGACTCTCCATTTTATATGCCCTTAATATGACACAGGTAAACTGAAATGTTGTAAGTGGATTCAATCATATTGACCAGTTATTTCTATTGTAAATTCAAGATGCTTTAGCCAGGCAGTGGTGACGTACACTTTTAGTCCCAGCACTTGGGAGGCAGAGGCAGGCAGATCTCTGACTTCAAGGCTAGCCTGGTCTACAGAGTGAGTTCCATGACAGCCAGGGCTACACAGAGAAACCCTGTGTCAAATTATCAAAAACCTAAGAGCTAAGGATGTACCTCAGTGATAAGGCACTTTCTTGGCATACAAGGTATAGAACCACAAAAAAAAGAAAGAATAAAGAGGAAATCTCAAATGAGATTTTATTTTATTATAAAGGCATACTTTATTCTTAATAGTCTATATATGGGTGAGTATGAGAGAGGGAGTATATTCTACATGCATGGGTGCCCACCGAGGTCAGGAGTGTCTGACTCCTGGGGCTGGAATTGCAGGGAGGTTTGAGCTGCTTGGAGTAGGTGCTGTGGGTTGAGCTTGGGTCCTCTGGAAAACTGACACACACTCTTAGCTGCTGAGCCATCTCTCTAGCCCCTGGATCTTATATTCTATAGGGTTAATTTAAGAAACAATATTGACTAGTCTGGAATAGGCTTGGAATCCCAGCTCCTTGGGAGGCTAAGGCAGGAGGATCACAGTTCAGGGTTTGCCTGGGCTACAGAGCAAGTTCAAAGCCAGCCTATGCAACTTGGCAAGGTCCTTCCTAAAAAGAAAAAGTAAGCCAAAAGAGATGGAGATGGAGCTCAGTGGTAAAGCAGGTGCCTACATGTGTGAGGCCTGGGATCAGTCCTCAGTGAGGAGGGAAGGAGGGAGGGAGGAGGGAGGGAGGGAGGGAGGATGAAAGAGAGGGAGGGAGGGAGGGAGGGAG